TAAAGGTAACTTAATCCCGCCGTCCATAACCGGCACAACACTGGCTGTGAGTCGTGCGCCGATTATTGGAGCACCCGATCGATGCAGTCGGGCCACAATAATGGGCTGGCAATCACCGGAATCGGGAACTATTGTCCCTACATTCAACTCAATAGCACCCGTAGTATTGGCATCACTCTCAACAACAATATGTGCATTTATTTTATCGCAATTATTATCACGCTTAATTAATACTATATTCCATTCACCATGCTCACCAGCATCTAAATCCAGATTGTTTGTATCGTAGGTTATATCTGAAGGCGACTTTATTTGTACTGATAAAGAGTTTATGTATTGGCCGCTAATCCTAAACCGTAAGGTATAGGGGGCTATATCTGAGTCAATAAAGAACAAGACAATCCTTGTTGATTGGTCATTGTCCACCATGATCACTTTGTCAATAACCGTGATTACAGTATAGGGTTGAATACGACTGGAAACACAGGCAAGTTGACCAGTGGTCACATCCCGGAGCATATCGTCTAGTATTGCTTCAAATACATTGTGTACAGCTATTAAAGCATCGGTATCTATGGCTGGTACGTAATATGTGTGCCCACCGGTGGCAGTAGCTAGGTAGTCTAGCCGCTCACAGTGGTCTAGGCCAATTCCCACGCATGTCAACAATACCTAAAGAAAATAATTTAATAATAACTTAAATAATAAATAATTATTTGATAATACAACCTCTGATTTTAACAATTGCGGTAAAACACGTTCGGCATAATTATTGTCACCGACATTATTCTGACCACCAGTTACTAAAATAATCTGGGCCGAATCGGTTGCAATATTAGCTTTTATCAAAGCATCTAGACCACCCAATAGCCCGCCATTGACATCGCAATCACCATAAGCCTTTAGGGGTACACAATGATCTAGGTCATTTCGTTGAGTCCGGTTGGTTATATGGTCTACATTGTAAACTGTCCATGTTGTATTATTAAATAAAACCATGCCCATATGACTGTTGCGTAAATAGTCCCAATTGAAACCCCGCATGAATTTCGAAACGAGCATGTGCAATATTTCACATTTTGTACCCGACATACTCGCTGATACATCAAGCACAAACACAGTAACTTGTCTCATTTTATTTGAAAATTTAATTGTTTGGTAAATATTTGTTTAACAAAGTTTATATTATTATTAAAATAAGCAAACACAATTTATAAATTAAATTAATTTATTTACAACATAACAACACAAAAATTATAAAAATATAGCAACCAATACCAACGTTATTATTATCATATCATTATAGATATGCCTTAAGCACAATGAATTTAGTTTTATTACTACCTATCTAAAAAATTAGCTTAAAGATTACAAGCAAAACGGTATGCGCTAGATCAATTGACGGCCATTATTTTACACAATGATTGTGTGATCACAGAACAACTTATCCCATATACTGTTTGCATAGCTGTATAAGAAACCAAATCAATAAGTTATTGACAATAACTGTTATATTATAGCACATTGTTTTGCACAAAAGCAATGTATTAATTGATTAATTATAAATATCTTTTAAAATTATTCAATTAATTTAAGACAACATGCTTATACAGTAGTTCATATTTTTTTCTTAATTATTATTTAATATTGTAAACAACAACAAAATATTTATTACAATACAAATTAGTATTATTATATAATATAAAAAGGGGTAGAAAGTTATTAGGACAGGAAAACTTAAATGTACAAAACAAGCTTATCATAAAATGGTGGAGGATGAATTGCCCGGGGTGCCCGTGGTGCCCGTGGTGCCCGGGGTGCCCGGGGTGCCCGGGGTGCCCGGGGTGCCCGTGGTGCCCGTAGTGCCCGTGGTGCCCGGGGTAGTACAGTTTTGCATAGTATTGGCTTTAGCATAAATTTAAGTTATTAATCAGGGTAAAATCTAACATAGCCAAATTAGTTTTAAACTATTTTTACGGTAATTAACAGCAATTTATAATATATGATTTACTATAATTTACAGTTAAAATAATATGAATTATACAGATTATAATATTGATATATAAA